GGGACGGGGTCCCTCAGGGGGAAAGGAGGGAGACAGGCGGTCCCTGTTCTGGACATGGGAGCAGGGCAGCGGGGGGTGTGGCTGTGGGGGGAAACGGGGAGAGGGTCCCTTCCTTACCGGGAGTCCCCGGCCACGCTTAGATCCGGCCGCCCTGGCCGCCCATCAGGAGTCAATGGGTGCGCGGACCGCGCACAGGCCAAGGGACTCCGGCTTGCGTGGCCAGAAGAGGCGGCCGGGGAGCGTCGCACAAGAGCCGCGAGCGGCCGCCTCCGCGAAATGGGGAGCAGGCAGGAAAGGCGAGACGCGGTCCGCTCGCCGGGCCCGCCGGCCTCTGGGACACCATGCAGCCCTTCCCGGCAGCGGCGATCCGGAAGACAGACCTGTCCTTTTCGTCTGGCCAAAACTGTGAAAACAGCCACAGTCCCTATTTTTAGCACTCAGACCCGCCCCTCAGCTCCAGTAGCCTGTAGAAATGAAGCACCACTGAAGGGAAAAAAAAAAAAGTGGAAGAGACCAATCAGATTCCCGAGAGGCGGGACGGCCTGCTGAATTCTTAAAGCCACCGCACGAAGGGGCTGCGGGGACTGGAAGCCTCCACAAGGAAGGGAAGCAGCTGCGATTCTCCACCGGAAAGTGGGCCAGGGCCGCAGACTCGAAAGCTAAGGACGCGCCACCTCTTGCCTTCCGCGCGTCCCAGCTGTCAGTAACTGTCAACAGCCCAGATGGCTGCGGTCTGCGCTCCACCTCCCGGACTACAGCTGCGACTGGGCCGTCGGGGGCGGAGCCTCCTCGCGTGCAACCGCCTTGGGCGCCCCTCGGTGGTGACCTCTGGTTACCCGGGTGAGGAGGGTAGGGTGGGGAGAGCCCCGCCTTCCGACCGCCGCGGTGGCACCAGCGTGCCGCGCTACCTGGACGTGCACCATCGAAGCTCACTGCCACTTACTGGCCACTGTCAGGGGTTCGGGCACTAATCTTTACCCCGCAGGGTGGTTATTATTAGTCACATCTGACAGGGGAGGGAATTGAGGCTCAGAGAGCTCAAATAACCAAGCTAGGAAATGACAAAGCCAGGACGCTAGGGTTTGAACTGCCTCTCTGCCCATCTCTGACTTCAGCTCTTCAAGTCACTTCCCCTGGAAGGTCTTCCCCGATGCCCCTGTCCTTACCCCCCTGGCATCTATGCTGTGTCCACTGCACTCTTAACAGTTGCTCTGCAAGCTCTGGCCCTGCCTGCCTCTTCTCCTACCTACGTGCTCTGCCATCTCCATGCTCAAGCCACGCTGGTTTCTGAGCACCTTAACTCTCTCACCAAACTGTATTCATTTACTTGCTTCTTCATCAGTCGTCAGTCTCCCTCAACTAGAATTCCAATGTCATGAGGACAGAGCCATGTGTGTGAGTTACCTATAGCATCCGGAGGCTGACTCAGTGCCTGGCGCAAATTGTAGGCACCCAGTTACTACAGTCACCCCCAAGAAACCTACCCTGTGATGGCACAGTTGGCCTGGAATGAGACTGGGCCCTGTTCTTCTCTGAGGTCCTGTTCTAAAACATGGGGAAGTTGGGAACAAATCATCTTGCAATCATTCGGGACTTTACCTGAAACTTTCCCAGCCTGGCCCGTGGTCAGATGTGCAGTCTACATTTCAGTTTCTCTGCTCGCCTGACAGGCTAGGTGATGCCTGCCTTCAGGGTCACTAATATCCACAGCCACATGGGCTGTGGGGGATCATCAGCAGCTCCTCGA